CCTCTTCAGCTACACGTGCATCTGCTTTACGTTTCGTCATGCTACATCAGAAAAAAATCAATTAGTTAAGCATTTTGGATGTCTGTAAAATGCACCCAAAGGGGGGGGGAGGGGTGGTTGCAGTGCACAACGCTGTTCACCTGGATGACTTTGCCGATTCGTGGCCACACTCAACAACAGTGGCCAGTCTATATGTTCACCGGTCCTGGGCCCCCTTCACAAATGCACACTGACCAGCCTGGTGAAGTTGTGATCAACCGCCACCACCCCGTATTGCATGATAAGGCTGTCAACACCGGATTGATACAAAGGCTGTACCGAATTGTTATTAAAGCGTCTTAACCAGGACCCCCCTATGGAGACTACAACGCATGCAGCTTGATGTGCGTCGCAGGGAGTGGAGGCATATATTTAGAGATCCACGTACACAACTAATTTTAACTGCATTTTGGATATGAACCAAATAACTTGTGATAACAACATGGGCTATGTTTAGCCACGGCCCGTTTAAAACATTTTTTGGAGGGAGGAAACGTGAGCGCGACAAGCATCTGCTTGTTGTTTTCCCTCTTATCAGCTCTTTACATTTATACCCACGTCTGAAAGTAAAGGTTCACTAGCATACTAAATGGTGGTAAGATTAACCGATGTCTTTAAATGCACGTACAGTACCGTTGCACTTGACTTTCAAGCCTTTCAACGCTTGTTGCATATTGACGGATTTTAATCCAGCCGGCCACTCCGGTTATTACGACAGGTTCATTCACCATGTGTGCCGTCTGCTTCAAAGCGGACGTGTAATGATCCCGTCACGCAATTTCCGAAAGAGTAGGCCACTGTGTGCCGGCTTTATCGTTTAAATTTGAAGAAGAAAAAAGTACCTGCAAATTTACTCAATTGGTATTACACGTCGCAAAATCGTTCCCACCACCACTAAAACTGAATGCGGACTGAAATACAGGGTGCTTCAAAAAAATGTTAACACTTCGGAGAATTTACAACAATTATACAAGAAATGTGCTGCCTCCGGGCTCTGGAGACCACCTGGAGAAGATTCAAGGCCACGTGTTGACAATTATCGCGAACAAGTGGGAGACTCGGACTTTTTGAAGCTTTTACATTTGTTATCACGCTGCAGTGTACTATTATCCGTTCTTTTTGCCATTAAAAACGCGAGTACCATTTAAGTGTTCACATTTTTTTGAAGCACCCTGTATATCGGGTTCGGTGATAGGCCTGCTGCCTTAAACTATTGGTGCGAGTACAACATGTATAACTTAACGAACACGTCATTGCAGTGGCTTCCCATGGACGCAGTTCAGCACGTTATAATATTTACTGCGTCTTCTGTTGTTTGTGTTGGGGAGACGTCGCCACCTGCTGGTCGCTGTCGTTCAACTATCCTGAGCCGTGGCACGTCGAGGGTCAATCGGGGGAGCCGCCCGCGTTTAACGGGTTGTGGAAGTTTTGCTTGTAAAAGTGGTGGATGGGAACGTGATCCCGCCCGCTCGGCTCGCCTCGCCGCCACCGTGCGCAATCTTGAGACGCTTTTGCCAAGATTTGAGTGCTGCCAAGGAGGCTCCGTCGAAACTACAGAGAGGAGATTTAAAATGGGGAAAGCAAACAAATCCACAAACGAGCCTTGTATACACGGTTACGCATCGTGAAGTCTGGCGATTAAAGGATTAGCACCAGTGTCGCATGCTTTTTTTGTGAATCAAAGGGAACGGTAAGAGCTTTCCTCTATTTACAGTGCGGAGTGGCATGTAGTCCGTGAACGTTTAAGCTTATGCGTGTTTTACAACTCGAATGCCTGGCCGCCTGGAGATTCCTGCCCTTTTCACTGTGGGTGCTGGGCCAGCCCTTGTCTCACTCAGCTCGTGTACACTACCAGCTACGTGACAAGCGACCTGCCCCTCTGAAGTCCACATGGGGTAGCATTCTTGTGGTTACGTGCCGGTCCTACCCTTCGCTCCCACGTGTGTGTGGGTGTGGGCTTGTGCCCTCTAAGATGCGCCTGCCATTCTTCCACTGCGGTGGTGGGTGTACACCCAGTACCCCATTCAAACCCATAGTGACATGGTCTCAGCTTGCTGATGAAAGTTGCAAGCGAGAATTTCATCATCGCTTGCGGCTGGGGTTGGCATCGTCCCCCACTCCTGATGTTGAGGGGAAATGGGCGATGTTTAGGACTCTGGCTCATGCAGCTGCAATGGCTGATTTGGGTACACGGTCCAGACCTCCTCAGAGACCCTGGCTGACAGAGGAGGTGTTCAGGCTGGCTGAGGAAAAGCGACAGGCCCACTTTCATCGTCTACAGCATCCCACGTCAGAGAATGAGGAGGCTTACCGCAGCCTTCGCTCGGAGGTTCGGAGAGCCGTTAGGCGCTGCAAGGATGGGTGGTGGTGGCGGGTTGCTAAGGAGATGGAGTCTGCCTCAATGGCTCGCGATCACAAATCGCTCTTTAATTCCATAAAAAAAGTTACCTGCAGCGCCACACCTATTACCATCATTAGGGGAAAGAATGGTGATCCAATCTCCGACCCCCAGGAACAGGTTTGCAGATTTCCTGAGCATTTCTGTAAAGTCATGGGGGAGGGGAAATCCGTCAGCCTGGAAAACATCGTGGGATAAAGTGGGGATGACCCTGCTGAGACTGCGGTGCCTCAAATATTGGAAGTCACCACATTTGAGTGGCTGGCTGAGGTGCCATCTGTTGAGGAAGTACTGAAGGTGATCCAGAGCCTGAGACCAGGAAGAGGCACCGGGCAGAGATGATCTCACAAGCAAAATGCTGAGGGAGGGTGGCATTTGTGCACAGACTGCCCTACATGACATAACAACAGTCTGGACCACTAGACGGGTTCTGCAGGATTGGAAAGATGCCCTGGTGGTCCCCCTCTTTAAGAAGGGGGACCGCACAGACTGTAACAACTACAGGGGCATCTCACTCCTCAGTGTGCCGGGAAAGGTCCTTGCAAGGATTATTCAACATCGCTTTGCCAGGCACGCTGAGGAGAGGCTTGCAGAGCCCCAATGTGGTTTCAGGAAAGGGCGGTCCTGCACAAATGCCATATTTTCTATCCATCTGCTACAGGAGAGGTGTAGGGAATTCCAACAAGACCGACATCTCTGCTTTATTGACCTGGTCAAGGCCTATGATGCCATCAGTAGGCCTGGGCTCTGGGTTGTTCTTTGTGCTTTCGGAGTCCCTGACCCGCTGCTCACAATCATTAAGGACCTTCATGATGGTGAGCGGGCCCGGGTAAAACTACGTGGCCGGGAGTCGGAGCCATTCCCTGTTCACTTTGGGGTGCGACAGGGATATCCTCTGGCTCCCACATTATTTAACATCTATTTTGACCACGTAGTTCGTGAAGCCCTCAATAGCTGTACCGGAGGAATTTCCATCTGGTACAGATACAATGGGAGGCTGATCGATGCCCGGGTGCGGTCAAGGGCTGGCTCCCTAATGCTCAACCGTGTTATGTATGCCGATGATCTGGTAATTGCTGCTCACTCAGAGGAGGAGTTGGAGGTGCTGCTGTTGAACCTGGAGCTTGCCACTAAGAGGTAGGGACTTACCATCAGCCCCACCAGAACTAAGCACCTGCCTGGGTATTTTGTATCATCAGACACTCTACCCCCACAACTCCCATTTGGTGATGGGGCAGTTGTGGAGAGAGTGGAGAGTTTCCCATACCTGGGCAGTGTGCTCATGACCGGCTCCGGTTTGACAGCAGAGGTCTCACTCCGAATCAGTCGAGCGGCAATATATTTTCATCGGTTGCGTTACACTGTGTGGAAGCTACCTGGTCTGTCGCTCCGCACGAAGCTTCAGGTCTTCTCGGCCAGTCATTTCCTCCCTTCTCTACGCTTGCGAAACGTGGACCCCCTAATGGAACATCTTCTCCGGTTAGAAACTTTTAGGCTGGCCTGACTACGATCCATCTTGGGTTTAACCAGGTTGGATTGTGTGATGAGCTCACATATCCTTGAAAGATCTGGACAAAATCCCATCGGTGAGCTCCTCCAGCAGGCAAGGCTGCGCTGGCTGGGTCATGTAGTCCGCATGCCCAGCCACCGCATGCCGAAACAGCTTTTGTTCGGCCGGATCGAGGGGGTTAAACGGGCTCGGCACGGGCTTGGGAAGAGATGGAGTGATGTGGTACAGGAAGATGTGGAGCTGAGTGGACTTGCCGATGACTGGTACCAGCGGTGTCAAGATCGGCCTCTGTGGAGGAGGCTCGTGAAGGACGCTACTGGCCAGTTGGAGGCAGTCGCTCTCCAACAACAACGAGCGGAGCGCCGGGTGGCTAAAGCGCAGCAAGTTGGCACAGTAGGGGGCACAGGTGGTACATCGGCCACTCATTTCAGTCAGTCGACCCGTGGCACCTGCTGGGTCTGCCCCGTGACCTCCTTGCCAGCGGGCGTTCGACACTTCACGTGGCCTCAACGTGTACCTAGCCTGGCACAAGCATCGTGATGACGTCTTCGCCACTAGTGGCGAATGGCGGCTGTTGTTGTGCCCTCTGGTGGGGAGCGGTGGTGTAGCGGTTAGGGCGCTGCGCTTGGAACCCAGCGAGCCGAGTTCGATTCCCACTCACGGGCAACACCGGTGACGATTATCTGAAGCGGTCCGAGCCTCCCCTAGGTCTACTCAACCTAAAATGAGTACCCGGTGTGGTACTGTAAATATTCAAACTGGGTGAGACAAAGGCGGTCGGGCGTGGCGTACCGTGCCGGCCTCCAGAGGCGCTTGCTAACATCACTTGCCCCAACAGTCTGTTAAGGCTATACGGGGGATCTTTGTCTTTGTGTCCTCCCTTTGCTCCCACCTGTGAGCTTTTTGCTGCACCCATTTGGGTGCCGCACCTGCCATTACCTCCCCCTGCCCTCTCTGGGCATGACACCTGCTACTGCTGCTGCTCTTGCTTTGTGACTCGCACGTTGAGTCCCGCCTCCACGTGGTTCCGCCTCCACGTGGACAACTCCCCGCCCTCGCCAGGAGGCTTTGCGGAGTTTAAATGCGTCCGGGCGCTGTCGTCTTGAGGACTCTCGTAACGCCGCCGCCCGCTGCCGCCGCCGCTGCTGCTGCTACTGCCCCACGGTCCGTGAGTTTTGGCAGTCGTCAGCCTCCCCGCCATGGCGGACCCTGCCGAGTGTAACATCAAGGTGATGTGCCGCGTACGGCCAATTAACAATTCGGAGGAGGCGCGGGGAGACAAATTCATCGCCAAGTTTCAAGGCAACGATACCGTCATCGTCTCGGTGAGAGGGGGCACCAGGCGGGGCGGGTGGGGACATGGGGGTGGCATTAGCGCCAGCGATGGGAATGGGAATCTCCAGCGATAGGGATGGGTATAAGCAAACGTATCAAACGCGCAGAGAGCACAGAGTTGATCGGGGGGGGGGGGGGCGGTTCGGGCACCGGCAATCATCACAACAAAGCCACGGGTGCGTCAAACGTCAGCTCGAACGGCATACACGGCGTGTGCGTAATGAGACTCAGGCGCACGATACACCTGGCGGACGAGGGCACGGAAGGGAATGTTTAGCCGTGGCATGGGCAGACATGGGGCTCAGCTGAGGCATTGACCCCGAGGTATTCACCCGATGGACTGATGGGCAGACATGGGGCTCAGCTGAGGCCTTGACCCCGAGGTATTCACCGGATGGACTGATGGGCAGACATGGGGCTCAGCTGAGGCCTTGACCCCGAGGTATTCACCCGTTGGACTGATGGGCGGATATGGGGCTCAGCTGAGGCCTTGACCCCGAGGTATGGGGGCATCGACCTGGAGTCGGTGGTTAGACGCGTGGTAGTGGGAAAATGTAGCGAAATGAGCTTGCAGAAGTAGGTTAGGTATCGAGCATTGAGACATCGGGCAATCGAGCTGAGGGTAACAAGGCATACGTGAGGAATGTGTACACGTGGAGTATGTGCCTGTGGCGGTGTGGGTTAAGAGCATTAAGCAGGTAATTTGGGTATTCACCTGAATGGAAGGCATTCACCTGGGACACGATGCTTATTGATTCACCCAATGGACTGATGGTATGCAACATATGTGGGGCATTCACATTGCATTGAGGACATTGGCGACCATGGGCAATTGGTAGAGGGTATGAGGTGGTTGATAAGCTGCTGTGTCTGGAGGCTCAGACTGTGCCCCTCCAGGTGTCGCCAGGTCACTCTTGAAAATGAGATTCTCACGGTCCTGTGGGTTCTCACCTGGTTAAACAAAGGAACTTGTATTGGACTTACCGTGCATCACACCTGCCCCTTAGTCCTGGCTGGTGGTGTTGGGAGTGATGCTGCTCTTGAGATGTGTTGAGAACCCCATGATATGTCTTGAGATTCCCATGAGATGTGTTGAGATTCCCATGAGATGTCTTGGAATTCCCATGAGATGTGTTGAGATTCCCATGAGATGTTTTGAGATTCCCATTAGATGTCTTGAGATTGTAATGAGACGTGTTTAGAACCCCATGCCATCGTGTGGGTAAGCGATGATCGGCACGGCTTCAGCTGTGCACTGTGGCAATTGCGCTTCCTGCAGTCTCAAAAGAGAAGAACACATCTTGTTGCAGCATGGGCATTACCAATATCGTTTGGGTATCTGACTTTAGAGAGGATCTGCTTAGAGAGGATCTGCTTTAAACGTAACACTTGGCTTTCGCGACCAATGTGATTCGCGGAGAGCTTTTTGGGTCAGATAACGTAAATAAAGTGTGTTTTGTGTGGTACACCCTCTACCACCTGACGCAGCCAATTACGGTAATACAGTTGTCGCGTGAACAAAAAAAATGTCAATTTGATTACCGGTACAGCTCCGGAGCAGTGCTCTCCAACACGCCGGTGCCGCTGAAGCGGTGACACATTGGCAACGTTTGTTCATTGCGTGACAACTCTATTAATGGGCTGTGTCGGGTGGAGGAGGGTTTCACGACACATTTATTAAAATTATTAATCAGACTCTCACCCCCCCCCTTCCCCCCCCCCACATTTACGTCGTTGAGTGTCTGCGTGTGCCAACGAACGCCGATCGAGTGAGGTCACGGTGGGAGGAGCGCGTTAAACCCGGGCGCTCGTCGCAGGTGTCAGCCCCGTGTCCTCGATGACGCACACCGCAGCTTTGCGAGTGCGGCGTCGACGAGCCGGCCTCGTGATTTAGATCATTACGAAGGGGCGTTGCGTTTGCCCATTATTGGCTAACGCGACGCCACCGCGTTCGGTTTTGCCCGAGCGTCGCCCGCGACTCTCGCTGCGTTTTCAGAATAAACCGTACGTCTACGACGGCGTCTTTCACCCGGAGACAACGCAGGAGCAGGTGTACAACGCCTGCGCCAGGCAGATTACTAAAGGTGAGTGGCGACGGCGCCCCGAAGACGCGGCATTGAATCGCGAGCGTCGTTGTGCCCATGCCTCTGGCCACAGCCAAACAGGCGTTACTGTCACATGCGGTCGGCACGTGAACTCGACGGTCTTCGTCGTTGCACATGTAACTTGCCCCTCGTTTAATAAGCCACACCTGACAGAGGAACTTCACACACACACACAACAACAAAAAAACAACCCGGTTTGGCAAGTCACGTGGGGTGGAGAGTCCAGTGAATTAAATTGTGATTTTATTGTACCACGCATGGCCCCCCTTCACCAAGAAAGCTCTCATCTAGAGATTATGTTGTTACCACCGTAAGCTCTGCTTAGAATGCTTCGTGACACATTGCTTCATGCATTTTACAGATGTTCTCGAAGGCTATAATGGAACAATTTTCGCTTACGGGCAGACTGCTTCTGGTAAAACACATACCATGGAGGTAAGCGATTCCTCTGACCCAGTTACATACACAGACACACACATGCCACTTAAGGGGCAGCAGTCAAGGCAAGCCTTCAAAGTTTGATTTGATTATGAAAGTGAAATGTACACCGTGGTAATTCATTATCTTGTCCTGAATGTCACAACAAAAATCCTAAGGGGGTCTTTTCCATGAAGTCTGAAAACATTTTAAAGTAAGGAGTTGCATTTGCTGAGCCTCTTAAATATTGAAACGGCAACTCGGATCGCTTTACAGTGCAAATGAGAAATACAAAGCAAAGATGGATGGGTAAAATGGAAAAAAAAATATCGAGGCACAAGTAAAGAAATAACAATAAATGTAAACTTGAAGAAAACATTTAAAACTATAAACAATGTTTTATTTTACCAAGTAAGGTCCACTGATCCGTAAAGCTCTTTTTGCAGAAACGGCCTGGCCACAAATAGTTCAATGAAGTGGCTCATCACGTGGAAATGTATAGCAGCCAAATACTCGAAGCACATGATTCTAAATGTGGAGGGGAAAACTGGAGCACCTACAGAAAAATCCACGGGTAGAACATGCACACTCCAAATATACATATGTCACAGCTGCAATCGAACCCACGACCTCCTGTATGCCAGGCGAGATAGTTAACATCTCACCAACGTGGCACCCCTGTTAGCTTTCAATTTAGTTTTCAAATCGCACAGGATTTATGAAGGCCAATCCACCATCCACCGCACCATCTGTCACACCATGGCACAGACTAACTTGACCGTACCTACAGTAACAGGCATAGTGCCGTCATGAATTAAATGTATGTGTCACCTGCCAATCTCTAGGGAGTGCTGCATGACCCAGAACATATGGGTGTGATTCCAAGAATAGTGAAGGACATATTCCACTACATTTACTCCATGGATGAAAATCTTGAATTCCACATCAAGGTAAGCAAAGGCAGATGACAGCAGAGAGATACAATTTCTCATTCATGATTGTGTCCTATCTGTGCACTTGGCACGAATGTTTCAATAGGATTTCAATGCTCATATTGCAGGTTTCATACTTTGAAATATACCTTGACAAGATAAGGGACCTCTTGGATGGTGAGTTTATTTTTAATTATAACAATCACATCGTCACTACTCACTACGCACGCATTCCTTTGGAGCACTTTTGATTTTATTTTTACGTTCGGAAAAGTTTTGTATTTTGAAGCTTGACTTCAATTTATTCACTGTACCCCCCCTCCCCCCCTAAAAAAAAAAACCCGCCTGCAGTTTCAAAAACGAACTTGTCGGTGCACGAAGATAAAAACAGGGTGCCGTATGTCAAGGTGAGTAACCAGAACTTGTTCCTCGATGACGTAAAGGTCAGGGCTTGCCAGGAGCGTGTAAGTCTTTTTTTCCCCGATGATTTAGCGTAAGCTTTTGGAAAGCATTTAATTAAAGTCGCGCGGCCAGATGGCAACATAAATGTATATATTTTTTAATTCATTTTATAAAAGAAATTCCTCCTCCACAACCTGGATTGCCTTCAATGTATGAGCTGGTACTCGCTACAGCACCTCAGATTAGCACGGTTGGCTAGGTACAGTGCGAAAGAAGTTCAACAAACAAACGTACATACAGGAGACTATACGGCTGGTTCTTGTTGACTCACCTATTGCATACGTGTTATGCTCGGTAGCGCAAACTCAACTGTCCTGTTATTAATATAATGCTTTCTTTAACTCCGAACAATTACTACGACTGGACAAAGCACAAGTTCAACATGCATACTTTTTGGGCTTTGTGAATTGATGCGTCATGGGAGATGGAGGCGGATTGGTGAAGGCCTTCATCCAGAAGTGGATGACCATGGATGGTGATGATATTTTGTTTGCGATCATGATCACTACAGCATGGTTCTCAACATCAGATGGTAGTATGCGAATTGTTTAAAAGACAACAATCAAGATGTAAAATTGTGTTGCCCATTAAAAAATAATAGTAATAATCTCTCAAGAATCTCAGGGCAGAAGTCTTTTTTTTTCTCGAACACCTTGCGTTTGGACGTTTAAACAATTCCTCGGGGAGTATTTTTTTTCTTTTCCGGCAGGGAGCTGGGGTTCTTGGGGAAATTTCAGGAACGTGAATTTTGTGCTTCTCCCAGTGTTTCCAGCAACAAGAGCATTGCTCTCAGGGATGTGGAAAGCATCGGCTCGTTCCCATGAACACAGCGTAATGGACCGGCCTTCACGTCCGCCGGACCTTTAAAAGGGCGCTTGTAAATTCAAACTTGTGAATTCAAACTTGTAAATTTCAACGAAACAATGGGAACGTTATGCAAATTTTTGTTGGCGTTGGGAAATTTTGCCAACTAACTGCCTCCCAACGATCACACAAAGAAGCCCTCCCTCGTGCAGTTTAGTTCTATTTTATTTCTACTTTATGAAAAGTGTGTGGCTGCGCGTGCAATTGTTTTTTTTTATCCTTTTCTGCCTTTCCCAAGGGGTGCACGGAGAGGTTTGTGTCCAGCCCGGAGGAGGTGATGGACGTGATTGATGAAGGCAAAGCCAACAGACACGTGGCTGTGACCAGTAAGTCTGTACGCAGCAACCCACCGTCATTAATTACGCGCAGTTTCTCAAGGATAACATCGGGGTACAGGGATTCCTCTGCTTACGAACCTTCGACTTACAAACTTACAGAGATACGAACAAACCTGTCCCCCGTATGTCCACATGCCTGTTTGGATCGAGAGTCGTTAAGTTCAACCGCCGCTCAATAGATGGCGATGGTGGCATCCACATCTACAGGAGATGATGCAACTTTCAAAGCCATTCCTCGTGTTTAGCGTACATTTCGTACAACATGTTTGGAATCGACAGGAGTGGAGTTGGACTTACGAACAGACCTTTGAGACCTAACTCGTTTATAAGTTGAGGAGTCCCTCTTACACGTAGTGCCCTTTTGTTAATTCACTGCTGGGTGAGGGCCTCCCCACCCCTCCATGTGGGTCGTGGGGGATTATTTGATCGTACGTCACCACAGCCGGTCAGTGCAAGTTCGTGTGAAGGCAGCCAAGCAGCGTAGCCGTTGGCAGCGTAGAGGTACAGCACAACGACTCTTTGTTCACTAAGCGCCACGGACGCAGAAGAGCGCTCGGAAATCTTGAGAGCACTTTGCACGCACACAGAGAGAGAGAGAGACGAAGCGCCCCAGGCGTGGACGACGTAGCTAGCTCTTGGTCTCGTTGTTACGGACGGAGAGGGACACAACGATGGCTACAAGAAAAACAAAAAAAACAAAAGGTGGAATTTTTCGGGAAACAACGCTATCTCATTGCGCTCTTCAACATGGAGTGGGCGGGCGGGGGGGGGGGGACAAAATCGATTGCAAAAGCTATCGAATCTACGACTCTCTTGTCAAATGTGTTATCGGCTGTTTACAACTCTGGGCCTGGTGGCCCAGCGGTAGAGCTCGCAGCTCGCAATTGGAAGGGTCGCAGAGTTCAAATCCTGGTTGGCGGTTGGCTCAGCCCATCATAATCTCTCTGGGTCCGATAAAATAGGTACCGCTTTGCGCAGGGAAGTCAGCAGTGGATGTCCAATAGAGAGACTTGAACCCATCACTTGGACATTTGACTTGTTCACTCAAGTACTTAAACGAACATGTTAACCAAAGTACTGGATTTTAACTGCCCTACAGAAACAGGCATCACTTAGAACAGGGGTCCCCAACGCCCGGGCCGCAGACCGGTACCGGTCCGCGGCCTGTTAGGAACCGGGCTGCACAGCAGCAGGAGGTGAGCGGTGAGTCCGCACGTGGCCCGCCCATTATTTTATTATTTACCACTTCCGTTCGCGCCTCTTTCCCACACTGTGCACTTGTCTCAGTCACAGTGTTGGTAAGCCCACAAGCTCTAACCCCTAGTAGCCACAGTGAGTAAGCCCACAAGCTCTAACCCCCTAGTAGCCAAAATGAGTAAAAAACAAACGTCACTGGAGAGCTTCTTTGAAAAGGGGGAAAGACCCAATGATGAACCCCCCCCCCCATCCGTGAAAAAACTTGTCTTCCACAAAACCGCTCCCTGGTGCTAAAAAGGTTGGGGACCACTGACTTAGAAGACGATACAATGTTTAGTTTGCTGTCCTTCCGCCGCACCACCAATTTGCACGGTTTGCTATGTACGGTGGGAATGAAGTCCAACATACACACATACAATAGATCACGTCCATGTACTGAGAGGATTTATTCGGAAGATGTCAAATTTAAACCTATCACTGTGTGCATTGCCGTATTGATAATTAAATTTTACTCTCTATATATACCGAGGCAGCCTTGAATATAATGAAAAGACAAGGAATTTATGGAAGATATATCAGATATATAATATATATCAGATGTATAATATGTGCGAAAACTTGGCTTCAATAGTGAGACTTTATCAAGATAAGATTTATAGAAAGAGGGGTGTGTGCCAAGGCAATACCGTTTCACCATAGTAATTATCTCGCTGTGTTTTGAAGACGTTTTCAGGATGTTCGATTTGGCAGGAAGTCATCATAAATCGTGAACCATTTTTAGTTTTATTCCAAACGAAATCAGATCATTGTTTGGAGAATATCAACGTACCGGTTTGCCTAGGCCAAATAACATAATCCCACCACCTACGAGAGAGTAAATAAATAATGATATCAGGATGGATTGCATTCGGAAAGCAAAATAATGCCATGCAGTGCACCGTCCCTTTGTCAAAATATAAATGACTGCACAAGCGTTGCGTCCTGTGTTGTTATGACTTATGCCTCAGAAACATCGTCTCTGACAGCCGGCTTGTCCCACGAGCTGAGAAGAGCCCCAGCGTGCCACGTGGAAGATATATACTCGGCGTCGCAATGGGAGATAGGGGCAAGATGAATGGATTGGAGGGCTAGACAAAATGTGGTCAATGGGAAGGAAAGCGTTGGGAATGACAAACGTGCACACGGCACGTCTGCAGTGGGTGGACGCAGATAATGACCGAATGGAGTCCACAAACCGCATAGAGGAGCGAGGGGCAGACCACTAGCCAGATGCAGAGACGAGATGAGGAACTGGGCCCGACTAATTTTGGATGTTGACGAGCAGAGGCGCAGGGGGAATGGCGTCGTCTGAGGGGGGAGGGACCCTTTGTCCAGCAGTGGACCTCTACAGGCAGATGGGGGGGGGGGGGGGGGGGGGCTGGTGATGATTCATGTGACAGATCAATCTTGTCCGAATAAATATTTTCCTTCATCGAGTGCATCGCAACTGAATGGCTAAATGCCCCATGGGACGTGGCAGCGACGCGGCTGAGCGGGTAGCGTTGTTCGCCGCTTGTAGCAGAGGTTTGCTGTGGGCTTTAGCGGCCGCCCTGGTTAATATCACGGACGTTGCAGAAGTTATTTGAAACACCATTTGCCAAATTTGAATATTTACTCGCCAATTACATAAATGGATAAAACCACATAGCAACATCGCCTCCTACTGGCAGACATGTTCATTGGTGAATCATCGCGCCTCCGTGTTAGCTTGGCGCTGTATTACTGACGCATATGCTAAATGCACGAAGCCATCGTCAAATTGCGTTTAGTTTATCCTTCCCCCGCCGATTAGCACGGTTGTCTACGTGCGGTGCGAAAGAAGTTCAACATACTCACGTGCACATGACTTTGAATGCTCACGCTGATTGGGGTCCCATTGCGAGGGAGCGGGGGCTGCTTTGTACATCTCTTTATTTTATTATTCGCCAATCTAGACATGAACGAGCACAGCTCACGCAGCCACAGCATCTTCCTGATCAACGTGAAGCAGGAGAACGTGGAGACGGAGCAGAAGCTCAGCGGGAAGCTCTACCTGGTGGACCTGGCTGGCAGCGAGAAGGTCAGCGGCCAGGGAGGAACCCCGCAGGATACTCGGGGCTGGGGGGGTGGTTGAGACGTCTGCGTCGACCGCAAGCCGAAGCCCCCCGCACGGCAGGCGCTCCCCCGATACGGATTTACGTCCCGAGGCCTCCGGGCGGAATGCGTCACGTGTGGACGCGCCGCGGAGTTGTTTATTTAGTCGTTATCAAACCTGCTGAGAATTGTCCATTTGCATAGGGAAAAAAAACACAAGCTATTCTTGAGGCTGTGCTGGGTTTTTTTTCTCTCTTCGGGAAGTTCCTGCATTTGGGGGGTGTTCGATCGGTCCCTTGATGAGATTTAGTTTATCGGAGGACAACAACAAAAAACACGATGGCAGGAACAACTCGTTTATGTGATGGGATAGGACTCACATGTCATTGCAGGCAGACCGGTAACCCAGTTACTGCACCGCAGTTTTCTGGCTACGCCTCACTTTTTGAGGGAGCGCCACTCACACATTGAATTGATCCGCCGGCCTCCCAGGCGTGTTCCATGAATGCACACGGTGAGAGCACTGACTATCCAAAGTCATTGCGGGATAATGTTTTGTTTGCATTGACACTGACATCGTTCCCACCCGGCACAATCCCGCTGGGACACAATTTGTACTGTTTGGCAAAATAGTCCATGCAACTGGAGGTAAATTGTGGGCAGAGGATGGTAGTTGCAGGGGGAAAAAAATCTATTGTTTTCCACTTTACTTCTGTGCTCTTACATCTTTGCTCGCTGCCTTCGCTGAACCCCCGCTAAACCGGCGTGGCAAAGTACGGTCAGATAACCCCCCACGACCGCCCGACACGGCGTGGTGTAGGCCCTCATCCAGCAGTGGATCGGCGGAGAGGGCCGTGCGTGAACCTGTTAGGGACCTGGCAGGCTGCGGTCGCATGCGTGAATCGTCACGGCGGCATGCGTGGGCTTCCTTGTTGCAGGTGAGCAAGACTGGGGCTGAGGGTTCCGTGCTGGATGAGGCCAAGAACATCAACAAGTCGCTGTCGGCTCTGGGCAACGTCATCGCCGCCCTGGCCGAAGGCACCGTACGTGTCCGCGATCGTGTTCGTTCCGGGATCGCGTCGCTACGGCCGTTAGCGATTTTTTTTTTTGACCCGTGTGAAAATCGCACGAGAGCGTGCTGTGTTTTTTTTAGCTCCAGTGGCTTCCTAAGTGCTGGAAAGAAGAGCGTTCCAGACGGACGCAGAAGCGTGTCTAAAAGCGCGCGATGCGGTTGACCGTCTTTGTTCGATGGCTAGCCAAAAGCCGCTGCAGCTGCTTGCGAGGATGATCGGAGTTCACGCGATGACGGTTTATATTCCTCGACGGGATCGGCGAGGCATCGTGGTTTACTCGTGCGGCGGGCTCTTTGCGCGTTAACGAGTGCGACCTTTAGAATGTCTTCGTTTCGGCCACCGGATGACATGTCACTCAACCGTGCCTCGCTACCGCCGCTCGGCGGGAAGTTCCCAACGTCGCTGAAGCTCGGCCGGCGGTCTGCGTTGTCTTGCCGCGTGCGTGGCGCGCGCAGAGGACGCACGTGCCGTACCGCGACAGCAAGATGACCCGCATCCTGCAGGACTCGCTGGGCGGAAACTGTCGCACCACCGTCATCATCTGTTGCTCCCCGTCCATCTACAACGAGGCCGAGACCAAGTCCACGCTGCTCTTCGGCCAGCGGTAGGGAGCGGCGCGAGCGTCGAGCGGCGTTCCCGGGGGGTGGGGGGGGGGGGGGGGGGGGGTGGTGGTCTCGCGCTTCGTTGGTCGAGCAGCCACCCCTGTGTGTCTGGCATGGCGGCCCTGTGCTTGCTCAGATCGAGTGCTTCCGGAGTGGTGTTTTACTCCACAATGTGTACAGACTGTGTGTATTTTACGTACGTGTGTGTGTGTTGAACTTCTTCAGCAACTTACGTATCCAACCGCGCTAATCAGAGGAGCGGGGGGGGGTGGGGATGGCAACAAACTCAACGAAAAAATAATTTCGAAAGAAATTAGTCTTCTATCTTGATTCATAGTGCATCACTCCAGTGGATTCCTATTATCGGAAGGAAGAACGTTCCAGGCGGCCGCAGAAGCGCACCCGAAAGCGCGCAACGCGGCGACCGTCTTTGTTCGATGTCTAGCGGCCAAAATCCGCTGCTGCCGCGAGGATGACCGGTGGATGAAACAACAAAGCACATGGGCAGTCCTTTCAATCGCTTGCCCGCATTGTTAATGGGCGGCAGGGCCTCCGACACCAGAGGCAGCCCAAGAGAGGGTGATCAAGAGGGCATGTCGCCTGCTCGTCCACGCTGACCAGAGTTCTTCTTGAGATTTAAAAACAAAAGTCGAACCGAATTCAACAGACTTTCGGTTAACCACCACGACCTGGTTGCACTCGCGTCAGTCGCGCACTTCACGGAAACATCTCGGAAGGTAGCGTGTGTCTAGATTGCAGTTGGGTGCCGACTCCATCTAAACTAGGCAGGGGCGGAGCCAAGGGGGGGTGACAGGGGCGACATTCTGCGTGTAAGTGTACGACGCTCGGCCTGGCGGATTCCGTGCAACTGCATTGCCAGAGTGTGTCGCCAACCGATGGCGTCTAAGTTCAACAGCCTGACTCTCTAATCGTTCATGAGATTAAAATTTGTTGAATGTCACCCCGGCCTGAAATCCTGGCTCCGCCCCTGAAACTAGGTACCAGTTTGTAGGCAGTGGGCGGTGGTCATCTTATTGACGCGGTGCTGTCCCCGCCATGAGGAACTGAGATTCCCACCACAGCCTCGGAGGTCGTCCATGGAAATGAGCATTGACATTTTTTTTAATTCTATTTTTTTGTTCCACATGTTTGTGTAGAAATCTGTCACGACGATGCTCGATCGAACATGCTTGAGACGGCTTCGTAATCTCCACGGGAGCAACGCGTTCTTTGTCACCGTGATGCTGTGTGCTGGTGAACCCATCACTTACTCAGCGAGGCTGCTCATGGGTCGTAAATCACACTCGGGGCCTACTGGAATGCTACGCGTCCTCCTTCCACCACTCCTCCCTGCGGCCGTTTAAATGCGCGGACTCTTTTGCGCTCCCGTAATAGTTAAATTAATCATCCGCAACAAGTAAGTAATATTCCCATAAAATAAATGGAGCCTCCCTTTCAACCAGCAGTAAACAATGAAAGGTTACATTGGGAGGTTAATGAATAAACAAGCACTGGAAAGTTGTACTTCACGATAAAAAAATGCCGCAAATACCTCGCTCATGCCACTGCTGGCGGAAGGGCCTCCGACGGGAGGGAGCTCTGGCCATAAGTATTGTAATAGGTCAAGTCGCGTTTGTTTCCTTAACCAGGTGAGAGTGACCTGTGGATTTTGCTGAGTGGACAGAGGTGGAGGGAGGTGTTTGGGGACATGGGTTAATTAAGAAGATTTGTTTCAAATGCCACGCCGAGAGATGGAATCCAACCGTGGATGTCTCTGGATCGCAAGTCCAGTGCGCTAACCGGTACACTGCGGTAGCTTTCCCTCGCTTGCCATACAAGGGTTCACGAAACGTGCATCGGGCATGGCGCGGTTGTTCCGTTTCTGTAAAACGTTCCCATTTAAAAAATAAATCAACAACCGGCGCTTGTGGGCTCGCGCCGCTGTCTCCTCCAGGGCGAAGACGATCAAGAACACGGTGACCATCAACATGGAGCTGACGGCCGACGAGTGGAGGAAAAAGTACGAGAAAGAGAAGGAGAAGAACAAGACGCTGCGGGCGTTGCTGCACCGCCTGGAAATGGAGCTCAAACGCTGGCGCTCAGGTCCGCTGCTCCTCCGCGCCTTCACGAGTCTCGCGGTGGTGGCGGTGGTGGCGGTGGGGGGGGGGGGGTGGGTTGGATATTTTATTTCCTTGCGCAGCCACGCGCCCTCCCGGACACTCGCGCGCTCGCGTCTTCAAACGGCAGCAAGCGGCACGCTCGGCAATGAACTGCTGTCATGCACGTCACGGTGTGATTTGTCGCCGAGTTGGCTGGTCGTGTTAATCAGCGGCAGAATGTGTAACGTATATGATGGGCTAACAATTTGCGTAATGGCTTTTTTTATGCTCTCCGCTCCGAAGAATAATGCGCGCGTTGCTTCGTACGCGTCCCGGCGTCTGCTCGTGGAAAACGATATCCTGGTACAATACGTGTAACTGCCTGCATTTCCGAGTATTTCCACAGCGCAACACTGTGACCAATCTCTGCGGTTTGAAGTTAGAATATCCCATCTCGTATTTTTTAAGAAGTGCCACTGCCCAAAACTCAGCCCGCTTTTGCATGCCACTGTTACAGTTTGCCCTATTCGTGGAGAACGCTGTGAGACGTTGGTGAACTGTATTTACATTTACATCTCACAGCAGAGTCAATGAAGGCTGCGGTTCAGTTCTGTCTCTGCGTGTCGTTATAGACAGATGAGGTCAGCGTTGTGCACAGTCTGGTGCCCTGCCTGTCCCCTGGGGGGGATCTCCTGGAAGAGTCGGCAGATATTCAATGAATTCATAATTATGTAAATATGTACGCGTAGAATCGTTTAATTAGCAAATAGCCTCCAGAAGTACATTCCTCTGTTATAGTCTCCCGGTGGCAGAAGTTTCTCCAAGTTCAACTCCCCACCTCCCACGTGACCCTCACCGAGTCCCCCGGTGTTTCTGTGCCTCAGCAAGATAATTGGGAACTGCCTTATTTTAGTTTTTTCTTCTCAAGATCATCCTCTTGTTGAGGCACCTTGTCCTGGGATAGTCTGTACGTCTTGCCGGAACGTTAAACATTCAATGTCCGGGTGTTTGTCGGTTTGTGTGTCCGTTCTCCCCTGGTATTATGAGCTCTTCTGATATGTCCCAGTGTGTGCACCTCAGAGGTGGCAACCCTAGTTAAGCCTGACTCTGCTGACGAGACACTGCACGTCAAAACCGGTCCAGATTTCTGCTTGCGTTAAGCCAGTGCGGTGCCGAAACTCTGCACTTTCACGCTTTGAATGACTTTAAACTTGTATGTACGTACAGTATGTACGTTGGAACTTCTTTCGCACCGTATGTAGCCAACCGTGCCAATCGGAGGGACCGATATGCGCGGGAGACGCTTTCGCCCTGCTCCTTTGATTTGCTACTCATCAGTGTGGTGCGGGGGTGTGTCTGCGTGTGTGTTTGTGTTTCGGCAGGCGAGTCCGTGCCCGAGTCGGAGCGATTCGACGTGAAGGACTGGAGGAGCCTGAAGGTTCTCGTCAGCGAGAGCCTTCAGGCCCCTCCAGGGCCCGTGCCGGCCTCCCCGGGCCTCGGCCTGACCAGCAGGCCCGTGTCCGACGAGGAGGCGCAGAAGTGCAAGCAGGAGATCGCGAAGCTCTACAGCCAGCTAGACGACAAGGTGGGCGGTGGTTTGGGGGCCCTCAGCTCGCTTTGCTGCTGCTGCCGCCGCCGCCGCCGCCGCCGCTTCGGGAATGAAAATGCACTGCTCCGTTAACACACAGGCGGGGAATAACGGGTTAAGTCGAAATTAAAACGGGGGACCTTCGCTGCGGGAGGAAAAGTCACCCGGCCGTGTGTCTGGGCGTATGTAGGGTGGGCTGCTCGCAATGGGAAGGCTCCGAGGTGAAGCTCTGTTAGGAGGGTTGACTCAGCCCATCATCCCTCAGGGGGCCCATGAAATGAGAACCACTTCGTGGGGAAGTCAACAGTGGGCCGTTCTATGGATAGACTCGCCCCTGCCTTGGTATTGTGGAATATTCCACCACTGCCTCAGGGCTGTGAACAGAAGATGAGCAGCAATGCCTCAACGCTCGTTTGAACAGAAAATCAGTTGGGTTCTTTTTTTGTTTGAGAGGTAAGGTCGACCTCAGCATTTCAGCTGAGCAGCCTTCTTCTAGACTATTGAGGCCTGTGATGACACTTTGTGGACCAGGGGTCAACGCGGGTTATCACTGCTTTGCGGTCAATACAATGAGCACCACTCTGCGGGAAGTCTGCAGTCGTCGTACCTACGAATAGACCAAGCCCCCTCAACCATGGCAATGTGGAATTCCAACCGCCGGCTCCTTGGCCCCCAAACAGAGATGAAGAACTGCCCAACAGTAATTTTAGCGCAGCACCTCGGACTGGCCGTGTGGGAATGATGGCGGCTTGCAATGCACAGGAGGTGGCTGGTGGAGTTGTGCTGATACCGTTGATACGGCAGCACCTGTAATTGATTGGCAGTAGGTGAGCTCTGATGCGAGGGGTGTTGGGCCAAGTTTGGTAATGCCAAAGTACAACGTGCCTGCAAAGCGTGGGGTCGTGTACAGGCAGCACGGAGGTGAACGGCGAGTTTGATGTGACGGTTAAATCACGTCTATTATGGTCATTAAGCGAGCAAAGTAACTAGATAAAAGTCCAAACTTTATAAGAACTTTATTTTGCGAGGATGACAACATAATCCATCAGTTCACAGCCGTATCATGGGGAAGAGGTGGGGACGGGGAGGGGGGGATGCAGGGAGAGGGAGGGAGCGAGGTGGAGAAAACAAATAACAGAGATAAATCGGCATTGCTCACCCATGTATCATATCTATTTATTATTTTTATTCACATGACGCTCGTTTACCCCAGGAAAGCCTCGCTGAGTCTCTTTCAGGAGAAGTCCTTCCAGGTTTTCACAGTTGGGGGGGGGGGGGGGTGTAAGGATGTCTACATTTTCCAATTAAGTACATAGTTGGTGAGGACTCTTTCAATCGAATTTGTCAAATTTTGACCATGCCCTGGGCATCATAGCTCTCAACGGGTGTGTCCAAACAAAGGGCCCCAGTTTAACACGTATTAGTAGTCGGCTTTCGCGAGCAATATTATCCATAATAGAGGTTTGTTTGTGTTCGATCGCGTAAATACGAATGCGTCATTAAACCCGCCACCACCCGACACAGCCAATAAGTGAGGCTTGTCACGTAAACAGAACGTGGCAAAAATCGTGAACGAGTACAGCACACACCGGGTGTGTGTTGGAGAGTAAGCCCACGACAGTATTTACAATTCGAGTACCGCGACATTTCGCCGGAGCAACCCGGGCCCCGATCGGTGCCCCAAGGTCCCCAATTCACCCACGAACTTCGAACAAAACTCCCCCGGTGCTCTCAGGTCAACTCGACCCCGTGCCCCGGCGGGACGTCTGTGAAGAAGAGCTTCGTAGCTCGCCAGATTCCTCTTGCAGTCTCTAAAATAAAGATATTGATTCTTGAACTGCGTTCTAAAATACACCAGAGCCCGTATGTGCGGAGTCATTGTCACGTGAGCCTCCTTCCTCCACTCTTTCAGAACCAACGGTGTTTAGGTCGTAGCGTAGATTTGTCGCAGCGTACGGCGATATTTATAAAGGAAATGGCCAACCGTGGGGTTACGGAGACACATCTCCGGTGATAGGAAAGAAAGTGACTTTTGTGTTTCTAATGGGCCGGCATATTTGGTGATAGATCGGGTCTGTTGAACGTGTGGCTTGCTCTGTTCGATCCTGTTGGTTTAAGTCTCTCTGACGCAGAGTTTTGCTCTGTTGAAGGACGAGGAGATCAATCAGCAGAGCCAGGCGGTGGAAAAGCTGAAGCAGAAATTGCTGGAGCAGGAGGAGGTATTTTCACTCGCTATTGATTTCACTGCGCACCCATTCCGTTTTTTCAACTTAGTTTTGTTTAATCCAATAAACTGTTGTTATTTTTTAACCCCCCCCCCCCCCCATTATCTTTAACCACCCATGCATAATGGTACTTATAACATAGCAATGTATAATAATACTGATATATAACCGGGTTGGGTGGTAATGTGGTCAGATTGCTTAATTCGCAGCCGGAAAGTCATGCATTAATTCATCTCAATGGGAGTTTGACTTGGCCCATCAACTCTGCGGGGTCCATAAAATACGTACTATTTTGTGTGATGCCAATGGGGTGATTGTCCCATGGCCGCCACCATAAGAATGTTGAGGTGTCCACCACTCAGCCTTAGGGCCACCAAGAGACCTACTCACGACTCGAGTTGGGCCCACTTATTCGATTGCAAAATCTGCAATCGAATTCCTTTTCGTTCTCGAATTTGCTCAGGCACCTTCAAAGTAGCGGCTGCCCTAACACCCTGCCTCCTGAAAATAGGAAACCCCCCTTCCCCACTGTAAGATTATTTTCTAATTATGTTCGATGTCGTCAAGCAATTGAACAGATAATCAGTGAGGCTATCGACTACGTAAGTAAACGGACGGGCCCAGCTCCACTGAACGTCTGGTGTACGGTGGGGTTAATGATGATAATGGTGGTGGTGGTGGGGATCTTCCCGAACTGCCCTATTGCACCACTGGCGGTGTGGTCGCCGTGCCGTGTCGGCCACCAACCCCGCTTTTCCGGTCAGCTCCTGATAGCGTCGCACCGAGAGCAGAGCCTCGGGCAGGAGGAGCTCCTGCGCCTTCAGAACGACAACAAGGCGGCCAAGGAGGAGGTGAAGGAGGTGCTACAGGCCTTGGAGGAACTCGCCCTCAATTACGACCAGAAGAATCAGGAGGCCGAGGAGAAGACCTTCTTGTTTGAGGCGCTGAGCAAGGATGTGCAGGAGCAGGCGGTATGGGTCCTGTTGCACCCCCTGGTGTTCACTCATCCTAGACTCACCCTGGTGTTCACTCATCTCAGACTCAGACTGGTGTTCACTCATCCCAGACTCACCCTGGTGTTCACCCATCTCAGACTCACCCTGGTGTTCACTCATCCCAGACTCACCCTGGTGTTCACTCATCCCAGACTCACCCTGGTGTTCACCCATCCCAGACTCACCCTGGTGTTCACCTATCCCAGACTCACCCTGGAGTTCACCCATCTCAGACTCACCCTGGTGTTCACCCATCCCAGACTCACCCTGGTGTTCACCCATCCCAGACTCACCCTGGTGTTCACTCATCCCAGACTCACCCTGGTGTTCACCCATCTCAGACTCACCCTGGTGTTCACTCATCTCAGACTCAGACTGGTGTTCACCCATCCCAGACTCACCCTGGTGTTCACCCATCCCAGACTCACCCTGGTGTTCACCTATCTTAGACTCACCCTGGTGTTCACCCATCCCAGACTCACCCTGGTGTTCACTCATCCCAGACTCACCCTGGTGTTCACCCATCCCAGACTCACCCTGGCGTTCACCCATCTCAGACTCACCCTGGTGTTCACTCATCTCAGACACCCTGGTGTTCACCCATCCCAGACTCACCCTGGTGTTCACTCATCCCAGACTCACCCTGGTGTTCACCCATCCCAGACTCACCCTGGTGTTCACTCATCCCAGACTCACCCTGGTGTTCACCCATCCCAGACTCACCCTGGTGTTCACCCATCCCAGACTCACCCTGGTGTTCACTCATCTCAGACTCACCCTGGTGTTCACTCATCCCAGACTCACCCTGGTGTTCACCCATCCCAGACTCACCCTGGTGTTCACTCATCCCAGACTCACCCTGGTGCTCACCCATCCCAGACTCACCCTGGTGTTCACCCATCCCAGACTCACCCTGGTGTTCACCCATCTCAGACTCACCCTGGTGTTCACCCATCTCAGACTCACCCTGGTGTTCACTCATCCCAGACTCACCCTGGTGTTCACTCATCCCAGACTCACCCTGGTGTTCACTCATCCCAGACTCACCCTGGTGTTCACCCATCCCAGACTCACCCTGGTGTTCACTCATCCCAGACTCACCCTGGTGTTCACCCATCCCAGACTCACCCTGGCGTTCACCCATCTCAGACTCACCCTGGCGTTCACCCATCTCAGACTCACCCTGGTGTTCACCCATCTCAGACTCACCCTGGTGTTCACTCATCTCAGACTCACCCTGGTGTTCACTCATCCCAGACTCACCCTGGTGTTCACCCATCCCAGACTCACCCTGGTGTTCACTCATCCCAGACTCACCCTGGTGTTCACCCATCTCAGACTCACCCTGGTGTTCACCCATCCCAGACTCACCCTGGTGTTCACCCATCCCAGACTCACCCTGGTGTTCACCCATCTCAGACTCACCCTGGTGTTCACCCATCCCAGACTCACCCTGGTGTTCACTCATCCTAGACTCACCCTGGTGTTCACTCATCCCAGACTCACCCTGGTGCTCACCCATCCCAGACTCACCCTGGTGTTCATCCATCCCAGACTCACCCTGGTGTTCACTCATCCCAGACTCACCCTGGTGCTCACCCATCCCAGACTCACCCTGGTGTTCATCCATCCCAGACTCACCCTGGTCTTCACCCATCCCAGACTCACCCTGCTGTTCACCCATCACAGACTCACCCTGGTGTTCACTCATCTCAGACTCACCCTGGTGTTCACTCATCCCAGACTCACCCTGGTGTTCACCCATCTCAGACTCACCCTGGTGTTCACCTATCCCAGACTCACCCTGGTGTTCACTCATCCCAGACTCACCCTGGTGTTCATCCGTGCCAGTCGCACCCTGGGGTGTTCACCCATCCCTGTCGCACCCTGGGGTATTCATTCATCCCTGTCGCTGCGTGGAAGTCCCCGGTTGTGCCGCATGGTTGCTCCGATGTGGTTTTCGGGTTTTGTGCCGCGTGTTGTCCAACATTCATCTCCGCGTGAATGGAACGCAAAAGATCACCTCTGAGAGCTATGGCGTCACCTGTCGGTTCACGTCGCCCATTGCCGTTCATTGGACCGATAAGAACCCCTTCACAGGATAGGGGAAGGCAGCTGTAATGGAAACCAAGTTACTCGTGAGATCGCTTTGCATAGAATATTGGTGTGAAGGGCTGCTAAGGGCCTTTATTGTGATCCTGTAGGTTCTAATCGAGACATGTTTATTCCTTGAAGGTCTAAGGTCATTCATTGCCATAGCCTTCCAGTGGTCACTTTGTGATCTCTGTTGACGAACTGGATACATGCAGGCTGACTCATACTACAAACGAATATCGATATACTGTACAGGCGATTGTTTCATAACACTGGGCACGACGATATCCTGCCCTAACCCATCACTGTCGATTGAATCCCCACGCTCATTGCAATTATCGTAACGCAGCAGCACTGTGCATTCGGAAGCGTGTCGGCGCGCGACGACGTCCGAGACGCGCTCGTTTCACTCGTTCAGATAAAGTTGGCGACGAGAGAAGAGGAGTTCCGGCACCTCCAGGACGTGAACGCGCAGCAGAAGAGGCGCGTCGGCGACGTGATGGCCGCCCTCGTCAAAGACCTCGGGGAAATCGGCGTTGCCGTCGGCAGCAACGAACTCAAGGTGCCGTTTCGCCGACGCTTGAACCCCCCACCAACGGCGGTTTCGTCGGTGCCGCTTGAGCGCGCAGTTCCGATGCTCCCTCCGGGGGGGACGGTAAAATCCGCTACCGCGTTGTCACGGAGACGACAGCGAAGGCCCTGTGGAGGCGCTCAGCCCTGCAGCGGGAGTGTGGGGTTTCCACCGCTGGCTCATGGTCACCAGGCTCCTCCTTCCGATATTAGGAAGCCGCTGGATCTGTGCACTTCTAAATCGTCTAGGTTGAAAAAACACTAATTGGAACTGCTTCTTGGTGTTTAGTTTGTTGCCCTTGCCCCCGCACCTCCGATTCGCGTGGTCCGCAACACACAACGGAGCGGAATATTGCCCCACTGCTCATTTGAGCAGAGAGCCGTGTTGATCTATTTTCATTCTTCACCTGGACGCACGGGGAGCGAACGCCATCGACTGATCCCGGCCTCGTTGGCAATCGGTCGGCGCAGGAGCTTGCGATCGAAACGCCCTGCGCGGGTCGGCGTGACCGTGCCGGCGAATTCTCTCTCCCGGCGGCGACGTTGCGTTCCCCACACCGTCCCAGGTCGCCGATCCGAGCGCGGGCGGCGACGAGGACGTGGCGGCGGCGCGCCTCTACGCCGGCAAGGTGAAAGCCGAGGTGGCAGCGCTGTCCAAGCGCTGCCAGCAGATGGAAAGCGCCCAGAGTGAGAACGGCCGCAGGGCGGAGGAGAGCCGGCAGGAGCTCGCCCGGTGTCAGCTGCTGGTGTCCCAGGTTCGGCTTCTCTCGTGCACCACCGTGCACGCGCACGCACGTACACCGCACGTTCGGGCGAGCTGGAACGACTCGGGTCATGGCGGTTATTTGACCATACTTCACCCGCTGATGGTCAGTGCGTCGCCACGATTTCGGATGCGCTTCTGCGGCCGTCTGGAACGTTTTTCCTTTCGATATTATGAAGCCACTGGAGCTATGCACTTTTAAATCATAATCCAATTTGAAAATTCATTTCTTTAGAACTGCTTTTTGTGTTCAGTTTGTCGTCATTCCCCCGCACCTCCGATTGGCACGGTTGGCTACGTACGGTGCGAAAAAAATTCAACATGCATATACATACATATCAGAAATGGCCGATTAATGGTGCAGGCTTTTTTAAATCCCCACGCCTCTGTCCAGCTGGTGGTATCAGGTCTGCTGGAGTCAAATTAGGGCACTCAAACCTCGTCCCAGATGTCTGACCAGCACACAAGAGTGGACCAAATAGCCTCTAGAGGGGGCTGTCTAGATCTCCCTCAAGTGGAGGGCCTTCTGCCAGCAGTGGCGTCAGTGAGACATTGCAGGGCTGCGCCTCTGTAGTTACATAAACGAATGCGTAATGGCGTTTAAATTGGCAACTGTAATGACACTTAATACATTGATGAAATGGATCGATACAATTCCAGCGAAGGTGCCAAATTATTGTGATGCGGGTGAGGTAAGGAGTAAGCAGATAATCACACTAATGGGCAGGCAGAGTGACAGTAGAATTGACGTTCATACATAATGGATAAGAGATGGTTATTTTGCCAAGAGTTAATTTCACAATTGACATTTACAACGTGCTTTTAACGTATTTGTATTCTTCCGTTATATCGACTCTAATATAATTAAGGTTTATGCGATGCATATTTTTATATGAAGGCCTATTGCCAGGAACATCTGGGCAACCAGAAGCAATGTGTTTAACAAGCCCGACTCTGCTGATGAGCTCGATAACGTTGAAACCGGTTCAGAGTTTGCTCGTTTAAACTCACCCCCCTTGATGGACTAAAACCACGTGATGTACACCGCTACCCACAATGCTTCGCGGGAGCGCGCAGTGAGCCTGCGTGTCGTTTTTGTTGTCGTTGTCGTTGTTGATTATTACCGTTGCCGACTCCTCCGCTTGGTCCACACATGTTCACTCTGTCGGAACGTATCGCTGCAGCACGAGGCCAAGATCAAGTCGATGAGCGACTACGTCCAGACGGTGGAGCAGAAGAAGAGGCTGCTGGAGGAGACTGTCGACAGCCTGAACGAGGACCTTGCCAACATCAGCAGTCAGGGTGAGCCCGGGGGTCATCGCCCCCACTATCCCAGTTATAATTAACGACATTTCCCCTCGAATGCGGTATTGGTTGCGTTTGAGGCAACACGGAAACAGATTAACAGGTGGACTACGAGAAGGCCACTGTCTCCCACCCAGAGTAAACCACTGTGGTCTGCGCTCCTTTGATTAGAGGATAAATAGCAACACTATACCTCTCGCCGTGGCTAGCACACCACGGCATTGGCATTCAGCTCCTGTCACCGTGCACAAGAATAAAATTGCCCACTGTGATGATCATCATTGGGCATCCCGAGTGGCCGCAGTGCACTGGCCGTGGGATCGGTCTGTCGAGCGTGGCAAGTTCTGGCCTCAATTGTGATATTTGGGCCAAACCTTTTTGAGGAATGGCGGTTCTGTGGTTCTTGCTAGAGTCCCAGTGACCCAGGGGCCAATTCTTGACCACGTCAGATCAGAATCAGAATATTTATTTCTACTGGAGGAATCCGATGAGCTCTGTTTTCACAGATGTCCAGTACGTGCAGAATCGGTGGCATGTGCTCCCTGAACCTTTCCTGGGCCTGTCCTCGGTCATCTCGGCATTAAATAAGTATCTGGCATTGAACATCGTCCATTAAAGATCCTCGCCAGCAGCTCTGGCCAACACGGTCTGTAAGAATTCGTTGTGGGGGTCCTCAGTAAAAAAATTATATGTTGTTGAGACAACCCTGAGTGGCTTAACAGGACTGCAGATGGCTTCGAGTGGGAACGAATCATCGCCATCTCGTAATTCATCTTTGAGCGTCTCCTTCAGGGAGCCTCGCCGTCGCCGCTGACGATGCGACCGCCGTGATTTTTATCGCTAGCTCTTATTTTCTTTTGACGGCAGAGCAAATGAAAGAGACGGCTTTCAAGGACAAGGAGAAGGAGCACCAGGACATGCTGCAGGACTCCACGAACATGCAGGTGCGCGTGTAACCCCCCATCCCCTCCCGCGCCTGTCGAGACGGAGGTCGCCCTCTCGCGCCCGAGCCCGCGCTGCCGTGTGGCCTCTCTCCCGCTGACCGTCAGCCGCCGGCTCTCCGCACCGCGGCTGTAACCCCCCCCCGCCCCCCCCCCGCAGAAAGCACTGGAGCAGCAGATGGCCTTGCACAGGGAGACGCACCAGAAGCAGCTGTCGCGCCTGCGCGATGAGATCGAGGAGAAGCAGAAACTCATCGACCGCCTCCAGGAGTAAGCGGCGCCTTTCCCCCCCACCCACCCGCCCCCCCCCGCGCACGAGTGTTTGTGTGCACGTCGCCTTGTATGCGTGTGTGTGTGTTGAATTTATTTCTCACCGTACGTAGCCAACCATGCTGATCGGAGGCACGGGGGAAAGGACAACAAACTAAACACGGAAAAGCAGTTCTGAAGAAATTCGTTTTCAATCTAGATGATTTAAAGGTGCATAGCTCCAGTGGCTTCCCAATATCGGAAGGGAAGAGCGTTTCCAGACGGCCGCAGAAGCGCATCTGAACGCGCCGCACGATGCGCCATCAGACGTTATTACGATCCGAAGTTGAATTTTTAAAAGTGCATTGTCTGCCATTTTGTGCGTGTCTCGCAAAGCAACCGCGCTTTTGCCAAAAAAAAAGAAACCCCATTTAGAGAGACGAATGCTCTCTCGTTATTTCTTTGCTGCACCAAGGAAATCCCCTGACGGATGTTCATTCTCTGTTCTCGCAGCGCGAACCGGTGCCACACGCTCGAACAGGACACACTGCGTGCCGATTACCAGAAGCTGAAGGTCGAGGAGGAGGAAAAGAGCCAGAAACTCAACAAGCTTGCGTGAGCTGTCGCCGCTGAGATGCACCCAGTATTGATCTCGTCGGCTTCGGATTTTCGATTAATCTTGCTCAACTAAAATGAAAAGTTGCTTCTTGTTGTTGTTGTTGTTGTTGTCATTCTCTGCCGTGTACGTTATGGCAGTGTCATGAATGACGGTCGTGAGCAGGCCAAGCAGGAGCTCAAAGGATTGGAAGAGTCGGTGGTAAGTGGCGGTTGGATCCCGTGCCATATTTGCCTTTGGCGAACTTCTTTAATGGTGATACATTTTGGGGTGCAAATGACGCTCGATACGGTTGAGAGTGATGGTGTTTGTGTTGTCTCCTCCAGGCCAAAGAGCTGAAGACTTTGCACAACTTAAGGAAGATGCTCGTTTCAGACCTGTCGGCAAAACTCAAACGGGTAACGAACGCCACACGATCGACAAAACAATCACGGGGGGAGAGTGCAGCGCACATACAAGGAGTGCTGAACAAAGCCTTGAGTAGTCGACACTAACATTTCCCTTGCCGTGTCTGATGGCTGGTTCATTTTCGAAGGACGTGTACGGATGTGGCACGGCCGCGCGGCTTTTCCACGGCTGTTACCTGCGGTTGGTGCCGCGCACGAGCTGCCAGGCCAGTGCCTGGAGAAGCTCCCGGCACGCGGGAGCGAACCGTCGGACGTTATTCTGAGCTACACGAAGTGGCACGGCCAGTGCCGGATTAAGCTCAGTGCGGGGCCTGTAGCATGATGTTATAAAGGGGCCCTAAATTAAAAAAAACACACGAAAATATTAAAACACTAATTTTTAACTTGCACAGTAAAGTTATTGTATTTTTTCATTTGCTATACAGCCAGATAATACGACAAATCACTAACCTTAAACACCCAGCCGTTCGTAAAAGTTGAAGGCGGTATAGTACTATAGTAATAGAGCAAGTGCAGAATCACTGAACCGGAATTGATAGCTCGAAAGCATTTAGCGCGGGGCCCTTTAAAGTGTGGGGCCCGTAGCATATATAGCTACTTTTGCTACTGGGAAAATCCGGCACTGGGCACAGCCATAAACACGGCAGATAGCTGTGGTTCCTCGCCTGGTATACAAGAGGGCATGGGTTTAACCCCGACCCTGAAGCCTGTATATTTGGAGTGTGCGTGTCTCTCTCCCCGTGGTTGCGTTGATTTCTCTCCGGATCCTCCGTTTTTTTCCTCCGCATTTAGAATCTACACGCGTTCAGTGTATTTGGCGGCTATAAATGTCCACGTGACGAGCCACTTCGTTGAGCTATAATTTGTGGCCAGGTCGCTTCTGAAAAAGAGCCACACAGCTCAGTGGGCCTTACCTGGTAATTTTCTCGTTTGCTCGCCGCGCACGTCTTGAGCCTCGTGAAACTCACCTTTTCGCAGAATTCAGACGCCGACGAGGACGCCGGGGGGAGCATCGCTCAGAAGCACAGGATCGCGTTCCTCGAGAAGAACGTGGAGCAGCTGCATCAGGTGCACAAGCAGGTGAGAGGGGCGCCAGGACCGACCCGGCACGGCACCGACCCGGCGCGCTCCGCCAACCAAACCGCGGCAGCCACCGGGGAGAGCTGTGTCCGAGGTGGTCCGCAAACAAAGTGCCGGATGACGAGGCCGCGATTGACGAGCTCCTTCGTGGATGCCCCACTCTACGAATTCATTTGCCATCGTGGCCGCGCGTTCCCACACAACGCCCTAATCGGCTTATCTCCTGTTGAGGTCGAGAAAATGAGCGTTTCATGGTATTCCTTCCCTCGTTGGTCACAAAGTTGCTGTCCGCGATTTTTGGCTATCCGGGAATCGCATCTGGAACTCTACACGACTGCGTCGAGAGAGAGAACGTGATGAGCTAAAGTGATGAGAGGGAATGTGGTGCGTGAAAGTGATGACTTAAAGTGATGATAGATGAATTCATGAGATATGGTAAATGCATTTGTAAACTATTATTTAATAATTCAATTTAAAGCTTTCGTCGTGAGAATATTGCGTTCTTTTATTTTATTAATTTATTATTTTATTCTCATTCTACGTGACTTTACCGAAAGAACCGAAGAAGATATTATTTAATACTTCAATGTATTTTTTTACTTCATGTTTATTATAACCAATTTTTTTGTGTTCTCACAATTATCCATTTTTGTAATAGCTTATTTGCTAATTCATTTAAGGTAATGCATTTTAAAAATACGGTGTTTAACACGTGGGCTTTCATGATCAATATTATTCATAATAAAGTCTTTTGGGTTCAATCGCGTAAGTATAAATGCGTCGTAACCCTCCACCACCCGACACAGCCAGCAAGGTTCGTCACGTAAACAAACGCGCCAATTAGTTACTACTTCAGCCCACCCGGTGTGTTGGAGAGTAAATGTACCGGTTGTTCTGAAGTAGTAACTCATTGGCGCGTTGTTTACGTGACGAACCTTGCCGGCTGTGTCGGGTGGTGGAGGGTTACGACGCATTCATACTTACGCGATAAAACCTAAAAACCTTTAGTATGAGAACTTAGGGGCGTTCGTAGGCCAATATCATCAGCACCTCCCAGAACGTATCCCCTTGGCGCGAGCAATGAGGGAACGCCGTGATCGGTGGCTGAGCCGAGGTGGCATTCACTTCACCGGTCCCGGAACACCACGGAACAGGGCACCGTACGCCGCGGTGAATATTAACCGCGGTGGGGGGGGGGGGGGGGGGGGGGAGGGGGGGGGGTTGGCCGCGGGGCCGCGGGTCTGGGAACCGCGCGAACCTTCGCCGCCTGCCCCTCCGTGCGCGCCACAGCTGGTGCGCGACAACGCCGAGCTGCGCTGTGAGCTGCCCAAGCTGGAGAAGCGCCTGCGGAGCACGGCGCAGCGCGTCAAGGACCTGGAAGCGGCGCTGCACGAAGCCAAGGAGGGCGCTGCCAAGCAGCGGCGGCAGTACCAGCACGAGGTGGAGCGCATCAAGGAGGCCGTGCGCAAGCGTGGCGGCGCCCAGCGAGGCCACATCGGTACGGCGGTTCCCCCATCGGCGTTGCTTGCGCGCCTGTGTGCGTGTGTTGTGTGTGTGTGCGTGCGTATGTTGTGTGTGTATGTATGTTGTGCGTGTGTGTGTACGTGTGTTGTGCGTGTGTGTGTACGTGTGTTGTGTGTGTGTGTGTGCGTACGTATGTTGTGTGTGTGTGTGTACGTGTGTTGTGCGTGTGTGTGTGTACGTGTGTTGTGTGTGTGTGTGTGCGTGCGTATGTTGTGTGTGTATGTATGTTGTGCGTGTGTGTGTGTACGTGTGTTGTGTGTGTACGTAAAATGGAGGAGCGTCAGTGTCGCTGTTAGTGAGTTGCGCTACGAACCCGGCGACCTGAGTTCGATTCCCACTCACGGCCGGGACCGGTGACGATTGTCTGAACCGGTCCTGGGCCTCCCCTAGGTCAACTCAGTGAAATGTAAATGCAGCCACTGGTGAGACAAAGGCGGCCGGACATGCCGACCTTTATAGGTGCTCGCTAACAGCACTTGCCCCAACAGTCTGTAAAGGCTGTACGGGGGATCTTTGTCTTGTACTTCTTTCCCAACTTTTTTTCGAGACGTCTGCCCGGCGTGGAAGAGTAGGCCCAATATCCATCTAGAGGGGGTTTTACTGAGCTTCCTCAAATCGAGGCCCTTCCTCCACCAGTGGCATGAGCAATACATCGCAGGGCTGCCCCTTTACCCTTGGTTGCGGTGGGGCAACCGAACCGCACTGTCCCTTGTGGTGAAGTATGTTTTAAAAAAGGCCCCCACGACCACCGACACAGCGTGGGGAGGCTCTCATCCAACAGTCGATTGGCCACCAGTCGAGATGACCATTGTTCCAAACGCTCAAGCAAAATATCCCCTTATCTGATGACTTTAAAGATAGATCATTGGATGGGCAAATGAGAAAGCTGCAAGAATTTTCTCCCGGACACGCCGGCGACAATTCAATAATCCGCTAAGAGTCATCACCGCCCCGTCGTCTTTGTCACCGTAACGCTGCTCCCCTGAATCTGTCTCTGTGCCTGCAGTGAAGCCAATCCGTGCCGGACAGCAGCAAATCACATCCCCTTCCTACATGAAGACCATCCTGGGAGGGGAGGGAGAGGTGTTTCCCGCGGCTCAGCGTTCCGCCAGCGTGTCCACCGAGGACGAGGCGGTGGCCCGCACCATGTCCAGAAAGGCCAGCGAGTGAACCTGGCCGCTCGCTCCGTGAGTGGCTTGGCCCCGCTGTGAACTCGGGGAACACCTGCCGGTGGACAGCATCGCTCTCCGGATTTCCACTAAACGATGCCTCTGTCGGTGAAGATGAGCACCGCGCTGGTTTTCGTCGTGTGCTCGGCGGTTGCCCTGTGATTAAAATCTTGACGATACGTGGGGTGGAGAGTGGTGGTGGTGGTGGTGTAGGTGTAAGTGCGTCGCGCTGCGAACCTGGCAACCTGAGGTTGATTTCCGGTCACGGTTGACGTCGGTGGGGAATGATGCCTGAATTGGTCGCACCGCATCATTGTACCATCCCCTGCACCAACCTCCAAGGACCAGCGTGGTGAAGCATGGCCAAACAACCCCCATGACCGACAAGGCGCGGTAAAGCCTTTGTCGAGCAAGCGGATAGACAAAATGGATGAGAGTGTGTTTGTGACGTTAGTTAACTTATTGCTAGAATTACGTCGTTTTTAGTTTCCATTGCTAAAAATACATTCTGGGGAAATGGTTGGGATTTATTGGTTTTCATAAATCATGCGTTAGTGTGGGATATGGGGTGAGTCAGATTTACTATGAATCGACTTTATAGAATCAGAAAATCTCAACACATCCATCAATAACACTGCCTTAAAATAAAATAAAAAAATAGCACGTTAAACGATTTAAGTGAGTGAATCAGAACCATGGTCGTAACGTCTCCAATTATATATTTTTAAACCCACTCTTATTGACGAATGCATTGATTGTTGTTGTTTGTGCTTCACCGCCACTGCCAACACAGCAGCAGCATCACCAAATAATGTTTATTTCTAAAGAATCAAGCGAGGGTATCGCTAAACGTGCATTGTGCGAAATTCAGCAAAAACACACACGACAAAAAGCAGACAGTGTTCGATGAAGCATAGTGAAACATAAATCAATACATTTGCAAGACAAGAAATTACTGTACAACTGAAATCACGATGCATTTAAATTGAATATATATCGGTGATATTTCAGAAAAATGTAACCTAAAATGTCATCTAATCTAGACTTTGTTCCTGCAGGACTGTACATTATTGCAACCTGTGACGCGTGGCATCTTACGCTTGTGCACCGTTAGCATCGCCAAACCTTTCTGAATTTGAGAATTAATTCCACCATCCCGACCGTCACGCCAGAATGTTTACAGGCCAAAACATATTGCCGCGGCTAATGCCGTAATGAGATACATTAACGGCTTCTCGGCACGAGCAATTGTTTTTTGAGCATTCACAGCCCTCTCATTCATTCACAGCTACCAATAAAATCTCTTCCCGCCGAACTCGTAGCGGATTGGGAGAGGTCCCAAAACAAGGCCCCGTGCCCATTCCTGCACCGCCATGGCCAGAACTGCCCCGCACATTCACCTGCCGGAGTCTGGCACAGTCTGGGGTTGTCACCAGTCCTGGGGGAGGGGGGGAGACGGGGGTTTGCCCAGGATCGTCCCGTTCTTTTTATTTCTTTAAGGAAGCCATCCTGGGGGGAAAAAAAAAATCTCTTAAGTGGTCCCGCGACAATAACAATCACTACTCTTTGGTTATTTCGGTAAAGTCACGTAGGTATAAAATCAAAACAAATCACGACGTTTCGGGCGCAACACAAGCGTCTATTTTTAAAACGACCTGCTTCAGCAGCAGATCACGATTTCCCACCTGATGACGGACGCTTGTGTTGCGCCCGAAACGTCGTGATTTATTTTATTTTCTACCGACGTGACTTTTAACGCAAGAACCAAAGAGTACGGATTCCTGCAGTCACGACAGCTTCAATAACAATCACGTGATTTTGTCAGGTGCATAATGTCACACACACACACGCGCAATCCCACGACGACGCACGGAAAGCGCTCCCCTCTTCCCCTCTTGTGAAGATACTCTTCTTAGATTGACGCGTCCATTTGTTGTTGTTGTTGCTGCTAACTCTGACGTGGCAACCCCTATCCCAGCCCCAGCGCCGCTTTGCTCGGGTGAGTGAGAGCAGTACTAAGTGAACAGCAAGGGGCATTGCTACCTGCTTGCCAATTTAGGTAATAAAACATTTTAAAAAAATAAACAACTTTTATCTGTCGTTTTATTCGAATGGATAAAATTAGCAGTTTGATTCGTCTCTGCGTTAGGGGCGGCATGCCCGTCATCTCGGACCGCTTTCCTGGAAGCGTTTTAACGCTTCAACTTTGCAGGGTCGAATGTCGCTCCCACGCACACATTAGTCACAGGCGGCTGTGCATAAACTGCGTCTTCCTCTGCAACCAAACGCATTTATTCTTCTCATGCTCGGCGTTTGTGTCACGGGGTTTGTCGAGCCGTCGGTCGCCATTCAACACAGGAGGGGAGCGAGCAAGATGAAGCGCTTCGCCTCTAGAATGCAAATGAGTGAAAATGTAATCATTGAACTTTTAGACTGTTTGAGGATGTTTTAGATTTGCACGTGTAACTTTACAATTCACAGCAAGTCGAGAAATATGTGCATTCAATATTATAGCTGATACAACAACGGTATAGACTGAAATTTAATATGCCTTATAGATAACCCTCGGCTTCTGCCATAGGAATGTGGATTGTCCACCATTGGTTTAGGACCACACGATCGAGTGATAATGAGTACCGCGTGATGCGCATGTGAGCAGGTCAAGGAGCAGCCCTGCAATATATCTTCATTAAAACGCTCGGCCAGTTGTGTTGTGGATTGAATGTCTCAGACAAGTGTCCATCATGCGAATGGATTAACGAACCCTTAAAGTACAGCACACGTCACGTTTTTAACACTATCTTTATACTCTTTGGTTCTTTCAGTAAAGGGCCGTCCATAAATGACGTCACGCGATTTTGGACGATTTTTTACCCCCCCCCCCCTCGTCACACGGCGTCACAAAAAGTCAGACCCCCCCTCAAATATGACGTCACAAAGCTCTGCCCCCACCCCCTAAAAAAATGCTTCAAATCGCTTTAAACTATTGTCATTGTAGTGTGTATTTAATGTGGCGCTGCACTCTGATGTTGTAGGAGAAAACATTTATTAAAACGTCTATTTTATTATGTAGAACGTGTTGTCTATTTTAAAAGTTGCGCATTCTCATGTGACGTCACATTTCTCAAACCCCTCTCCCCTCGTCACACATCGCCACAAATATCTGACCGCCCCCCCCCCAGGTGCGTGACGTCATTTATGGACGGCCCCTAAAGTCACGTGGGTAGAAAATGAACGATAGCACTTTCTTTCAACGTTGCATTCTGAAATGTGTTGGGTTTTTTTGGGGGGGGTTACTCTATTCCTGTGTGGGTTGTGGCGGTTGTGCCGTACAGCTCCCCCGATGTCTTGTACGGTTGTCTGCGACACGTACGTTCAACTTCTTTCGTACCGTACGTAGCCAAGCGCGCCAATCGAAGGTTGCGAGGGTGAGAGTGAGCGCACACTCAATGTTCAGTAATTGACTCTGAACGGTGGACACCAATGTACAACCGGCCACACTTCGCGCACTGCGTTACAGGCACAGCTTAGCCAATGCAATCATTTCACTCATCGCGTGGTAATAATGTCTACACGGAGGCTGTTGGCCTGTCACGTTTACCCTATATGTAGCGTGCTGGAGGTGCTTGTGTAGGTATTGATATGATCGTGTAAGTGTTGATTGTTTAGTCGTGCATGCTGCTATAAAAGTACCGTCACTTGAAGTGTTGGTTGTCAACCCTAGGCGTGTGGGTGTTGTGCAGCATTCGTCCAGGTGTTGTGCAGCATTCGTCCAGGTGTTGTGCGTGTATGTACGTTGAACTTCTTTCGCAACGCACGGAGCCAACCGTGCTAATCGGAGAGCTGCGGTGAGAAGGACGAACAAGCTACCAAAATAAACTGCATCGCCTCGAGCCACGCTCACGTCGCTGACAGCATCGTCGTCCGTCCTCGCTCCTATCACGTAGCCTCCACCATGAGCTACCCTGTCCATCGCTTCGTTGATCGAAGTCGTTTCGATATTCATCATCGCGCCTTCCAGGAACGCATCCCCAGACGTGAACCGGCGCATGACTTATAAAACGCACGCGTTTTATAAGTGAGGTGATCGGCCAAAAGCAGGAACCGTGTTGTACGAGAAACCCGCTCAGGTTTCGGTGGTGACTCTGCAACAGTTCCAGCAGGATGAGGCGGACGGAAGGAAGCGACGGGCAAGCGCGGTGTGGGTGGCATGAGTAGGGAATGACCGCGGTGACCTCGTGACCTTGGGACGACTCTTTTCTTAGCCGAACGGCGCAGTCCGCCGACGGAAATGTTTTTGTTTCGTGAGCTGGCGTGCAACCCTGGAGTTGAGATTCGCCTCCGTGACCCGGGTTATCTGCCGCGTGCCGGTGAATTTCTGCGCCTCTCGAGACCCACAGAAATGCCGTGCCACGTCAACGCCCAGCGCGCTGCTGTCAATGATGCGCTGTTTCATGCGGATATGGCTCGCGTCGATAGGTTTTCACGCGCGCTCATTTTGTTTCGCTACCCCAGTACAGTGGGTCTGGATTCATGCATCAAATTTGAAAGATGTAACTTTTCTTAATAATAATGTTAATCGATTTGTTTTGATATAGTGTCTCGGAGAAATGTAAGGGCACCCCCAGTGGAAGCTGTCTCCGTGGGGCACAGGATGACCCCATAACCTGGCCTGCAGTTGCGCATTATTAGAATATGTTTCACCCTTTACGGCAATAACACAAGTGTGTTAAGATGTTGTAACAAGCAAATAGAAACCTTTTGCAAGGAATGATGCCCGCATTAACCACACGCGGTACTTGTGGTGAACGTGCAAACAAAAGCATGCTCTGGTAATTGCCAGAGAGGGTAAAACCTATTCTTATACTTTTGTAATGATGACTTGGACGCACTTGTCTTGAGATGGTTTATTTTATTAAGGAGCCACGTACTCACACTCGGACAGGCGGAGACCCCCCACTGGAACAGCCCCGAGTCTCGCGCGCATCTCCCTGATGTACGGTCTGAAGCCACGCCCCCATTCCGGAACCTTCTCGCTGGTTCTAGACCGCTCGCTCTACCGGCAGACTCCACCGTCCTCTAACGTCACCTGGCCACGCTCCCATTCTCGATCATTTCCGCAGCCACCAGTCCACTCGCACTGCACGCTGACTCGCCTGTCATTACCTCCCGTGGCCACCACTAGTCCACTCACACCGTAGGCTGACTCCCCTGTCATTACCTCCCGTGGCCACCACTAGTCCACTCACACCGTAGGTTGCCTCTACTGTCATTACACTTTGATACCGGCAAGAAAGGTCCCATGTTAATTGGGCATTAGCCTGCCAGTAGGGGGCGATGACTGCTATGTTGTGGGCTGCCGCGGTGGTGAGATGTTATCTCCCTCGCCTGGTACGCGGGAGGTCGTGCACGGGTTCAACCCCAACCCTGACGATGCCCCTATAGTCCACGTAATAATTTTGCTAAATGTTTTCCATTTAAGCAGCAGAAAATGTATTTACAAAAAGGCTAAATATGTGCACTACTCAAATATGATTATAATACGCAACAGTGGCATGTGCGACGAGGGTAGCTGTGGGTAGAACACAACGGCAGCGAGGACAAATTGCATAATTGTGCCTTAGCGACTCCAGCTTCAAGTAAATTAACGTTCTTTTCTGAAATAGTTGTTTTGGCATAAAAATGCAGACGGCCAGTAAACACGCGGAGCTCCGCTGAGAGGGCCCCATGGTGAAACTCTTTGCTCGTCGGTTCGAAATTCTTATCGACTGCGCAACCTTGCCATGGCTGCTGCGTGAATGTTGTGACCAAGTTTTTGTGGGTCGATGGGCGTTTCAAACTGACAGGCGGTGAGGAAGTGGGCCTGCGACATCTTCGTGACAGCAAGGGGCAGCTTCTCCGGCGTGCCTCTAAATAAGACTCGCAGCGCGCATCCCTTGCCACTTGCTTTGTGCCGGATCATCCTAGTAGCGCAAGTAGCTGCGTATGCTACGGTCCCCGCACTTTAAAGGGCCCCGCGCTAAATGCCTTTCAAGCTATCAATTCCGGTTCAGTGATTCTGCACTTGCTCTATTACTATAGTGCTATACCGCCTTCAACTTTTATGAACGATTGGCTGTATAGCAAATGAGAAAATACAATTGCTTTACTATGCAAGTTAAAAATGTGTGTTTTAATATTTGTGATTTTTGTTTTTAATTTAGGGCCCCTTTATAACATATGCTATAGGCTCTGACCTAGCTTAATCCGGCACTGCACCTTCTGCCAGGAGACCGGGGGAAAAAAGAGTACACAACGGCACTGTTTGTCGAAAAGGAGTGCCCGCTGAACGATGGATGCCTCTCTGTGTCCTAAGTTGTTACGCAATATCTTGGGTGAAAAGGCTGGCATCTATGGCCGGGGGGGGGGGGGCGGCGGAAGGGGGGCGGGTGGCGTTTTCCACACACGTGTTCTGCGTTTTCCTTGCCTAACTAAGCTCGGCGATGTAAGCGCATTTTGCACACCGCTCGCTTTTGCCGCCGAGGTGACTTTTACTGCCCCGTACGCAGCCCGTGGCGACGCTGCTCACGCGGCACAGGAAGACGTGCGCACGACAGAAGAAGGGAAGCTAAAATGGATGTTGGGAATATCTCCGCAAATGGAGTGGTTAGCGCCTTTGGGTCTACTGATATCCTTGTAAGGCGATAGATTTAGACGGTTCGGGCACGTGTTGTGGAGAGGCAAAGACGGCGGCAACGAGAAGGGCTGCTGAGACGCCACCAGTGCAGGACAGCTCAAAGCACTGAACAGTACAACTAATTAAATATTCTACATACTAAAAAAATATATTACATGACAAAAAACAATGGCATAGATATAAAAAGCATAAGAGCAGCATAGAGAGCATTCAAGGGACGGAATATACAAGGTGGGAGACTCGAGGAGGGAATTCAAGCCAGATTGTAATACCTTTTGAGCAGGTGAGGTTTTTTTTAGATTTCAAGGTGGAGATTGACTCAGCGGATCTGATCTCAATGGGCAGTGCGCTTCATATACCAGATGAGAGGACATCTGTGAAAAGGAGCTTCATGGCTCCTCGGATTCCT